TTCTTTTTGCTTATGTGATGCTGAGGAATCGAACCCAGGGCCTCATGCATGCAAGGCAAGCGCTCTACCACTGAGCCACCTTCCCAGCCCCAGTAATTACGATTTCTAAACAATCTTTTTTATCCCAAATGCTTAGTAAATACTATTAAACCCCTATGGCCCCATCTCCTGTCCCATATTGCCTGAGACTGTGCCAGGCAAGTTCTCCATTACCTGCAATATCCAGCCTACCAAGAGCCCCTCCTCAGCTGTGAGCCCAGAAATTCACTGCTCTTCACAAATGTTCTGAACTGACTTCTTTCAGAGTCAGAAAATTAGTGTAGTGGGTGTGGATGACTGAAGTCAGGTGAAGTCACAAGTGAGGGGGCTCAAGTTGACATGGCCTCCAGTCCTACTTCACAACCACAGCTTCTGCTCCATTTTTTTTTTTTTGGCCCCCAGAAATACCTCAGTAGTCTACATCTCGCTATTCAAGGTCTAAATACTAAGAGAACACTCAATCTAAGAATTTCAATTGCAGATGTTTAAGTGATTTGCAAACTCAAACTATTCTGGGGAAGGCATCATTCCGGACCTTAACAGGATTCCTTGCCACCATAAGTAGGAAGGCTTAATTAATCTATAATCTATATATTCTAATACTAGATAACACTAAGTGAAAAACCACAAAGTTTGAAGCACTGTGTATCGTTGTGAGCAAATGAGCCAATGTATCTTGGACAAATTCCTTCTAAAGTTATTCCTTTTTTCCTATACATAGGTATTTGACACATATATGAGGTGGTTACATACTAATAACCAGTGACTGTGGAAACACTTTTCTGTCCAACTTCCTGACACCTCTGGCCAAAAGTAATCTCTTACATTTATAGAAAAGCAAATAAGTTTAAGGACTATTTTTCAAGGAAGTGATAAGCAATTGAGAAACTGACACTACCTGTTGCATATAGCCTCAAATCATTCACTTATTGGAAGAGTAGTTAGGAATAGCTTAAAGAAAAAACAAAGTATAAAAAAAGTTCAGACATGAGCCAGGAGCTGGTGGCTCATGCCTGTAATCCTAGCTACTCAGGAGGCTGATAACTGAGGATCACGGTTCAAAGCCAGCCGGGACAGCAAAGTCTATGAGACTCTTATCTCCAATAAACCACCAGAAAACCAGAAGTGGTGCTGTGGCTCAAGTGATAAGAGCGTTAACCTTGAGATGAAGAGCTCAGGGACAACAAGCACTCAGGCCCAGAGTTCAAGCCCCACAACCCACCAAAAAAAAAAAAAAAAAGCTGCTATTAACTGCCAAAACAAGTGAAAACCATCATAACTTAAGTATAACTGAATATGTCTTTAAAACTACTATTAAATGCCAAAACACAAATACAAATGATTACAGCTTACCTATCACCACTAAAACTACAGGCAGCACCGGGCTTGTCTGCTACAAACAGCATTATGTCAATACAGCACAAACTGAGACAATATGACATCACCAAACAATAACACACCCCAGCCACTAAGTGCAGTGAAATACATGGCACACTGTTTCCAACTATTACAATGTCATAAGCACCTGAAAAATCTTTTTTTTTTTTTGGTCGGTCGTGGGGCTTGAACTCTGGGCCTGGGTGCTGTCCCTCAGCTCTTCAGCTCAAGGCGAGCGCTCTACCACTTGAGCTACAGCGCCACTTCCGGTTTTCTGGTGGTTTATTGGAGATAGGAGTCTCACGGTCTTTCCTGCCCGGGCTGGCTTTGAACCGCGATCCTCCGATCTCAGCCTCCTGAGTAGCTAGGATTACAGGCGTGAGCCACCAGCGCCCAGCGCACCTGAAAAATCTTTAAAGAACAATTCCATTCTTCAAACATTTTCCAGTTTACAGACTTTGAGATAAACTATCCTATTCTGAAAAGCTTTTCAAGTTATCAGGAAACATATCAACTAAGAACTGGCTCACTGCAGTTTTTCTTTTATATCACATCTGCAAGACCTTACACACATACACAGAAGGGGTTCAAAGATGGAACTGTTTAGAAATAAATACACTACTGAAAAAAAAGCCCACCAGATGAGTAGTCACAAGACTCATTCCAGTCCTGCCTGGTCCTCTTTCAGTCATCTGATCCAGAACTAATTTTTGTTTCCATCTGATTGCTATAAAAAGCAAAGGGCAAGCTCTATGTAAATGAGTTTTATTTTTTATTTTTCCTACACAAAGAGTAGCCCTTAAACTTGTTAGTTGATTCTAGAGTGCTTGAAAACAGCCTGCTCTCATGTTTTAAGGAAATCTGTTTTCATAAAGCCCAAAAAAATCATTCCTAGTTTACAGCAAAATTATAACTGGATTAGTGCAGCATACAAACTATTAAAATGAGGTGGTGTAAAAATGAGTTTGTAGTTGCATTTGCCAAAGGTACAGTATAACAGTCACAGAGAAGCATCTTGAACCTGTTTAAATGTCCTGATGTAGCTAATTAGGAAAACTGCATTCTTAAACCAAGAGGGATATGTTAAAATAGTGTTTGAGGAAAACTATCCTAGCAGCTGTGGAGGATTAACTAAAGTGATCAGGGCTGAGTGTAAGGAAATCCATTTACAAGTTTTTATGTGAAGTAATACAAATAAGGTTCTCCAACAGTCTGTAGTGGTGACAGTGGAAATGAAAAGTAAATGTGGCCGGGTGCCGGTGGCTCACGCCTGTAATCCTAGCTACTCAGGAGGCTGAGATCTGAGAATCGCGGTTCAAAGCCAGCGCGGGCATGAAAGTCCGTGAGACTCTTATCTCCCATAAACCACTAGAAAACCAGAAGTGGCGCTGTGGCTCAAGCCGTAGAGCGCTTGCCTTGAGCTGAAGAGCGCAGGGTCAGCGCCCAAGTCCAGAGTTCAAGCCCCATGACCGACCAAAAAAAAAAAAAGAAAGAAAAGGGGTAAATGTGATAAGACACTGCAGTTAGCCAGACTTGATGATACAGTGAACCAGGGAGGTGGAAAAGGATTTCACAATGACTCCCAGAAGCTGAAGACAGATAGCCTAGGGCCTAACCTCCCCTGCCAAGCATTAAAGTTCTCAGACTTTTCCAGACAACACCTGTACCTGTTTAATTGTATATGCCAGCCCCACAGTGAAATAACATTCCACCTGTCAGTGGGAAATTACCCCATAGCCAAAGGTTACAGGTTTGTTTCTTGATGGAGATAGCTTGCCCTTGTAATCCTGAGTTCTTTACATACTAGGGAAACACACACACACACACACACACACACACACACACACACACACACACAAAAGGCTTAATTCCCCAAGGAGTCACCCATTTGAAGTCCAAGCTTAATTCTCTATGGGACCTCTGTCATGTGTACACAAAATACAGATAAGGCCAGAGAGAGTGATATGTGTGACAATGTCAGGAAAATCCTTTTTTTTTTTTTTTTTGGGTCCGGTTGTGGGGCCTGAACTCTGGGCCTGGGCGCTGTCCCTCAGCTCTTCAGCTCAAGGCTAGCACTCTACCACTTGAGCCACAGCACCACTTCCGGCTTTTTCTTTTTTCTTATGTGGTGCTGAGGAATCGAACCCAGGGCCTTGTGCATGCAAGGCAAGCGCTCTACCACTGAGCCACCTTCCCAGCCCCGGAAAATCCTATTTTTAAAGGATTCAGCTTAAACTGGAACTTAATCAGCTGGCTACATTTAAAACTTAATAAAGCCTGAAACAACCTTGTGGGGGTTATTTTTAATGATTCACAAAACATTAAAAGGCAGATAGTCTGTTCCAGGGTGCATTGCTACATGATTCTGCAGTTTTGCAGAGTTTTCTGTTTCTGCAATTTTCATTCTGCTAGAAGGCAGACATCAAAGGTTTTCCTCTTGTCTAAAAAACATATTATTTCCAACTTGATCAGGCAGAGTGGTTATCAATAACAATGTATATTTAATAGAAGTCTCTCTCTCTGCCCACAGATCCTTCTGAGGAAGCTGTATAGTTTCTTAATGCATATTATACCATGGGAGTGTGATTCGCCGGGACTTGTTTTGAACATCTCAGTCTCAAAAAAAAAAAAAAAGACTGATAATTCCTTTTCGTCTAGACCATCAGAGGTGGTTATGTTTACATACGCTTTCATCGCACATTTTTTAATCAAAAAAAAGAGAGAGAGAGACTGATGACCCCAATCTCAATAAGAAACATGTCTGTTTCCTCTTAGGCAATCAGGGGTGCTGTTATATTGACACACATTTTTGTTTATTTCAACACACACACACACACACAAAAGACTATCTTGCAAAGATTTTTTAAAATATTACCTATAAGGGGTTACAAGATAGCCAGCCCTCCAGACCACTGTCACTCTCTAACCCTTTTAATCCTGAATCGTGCAGGGGATCCTCCCTCCCTTCCCCCCCCCCACCCCCACACACACCCAGTAGATTTTTTTTTCCCTTCTATTTTCTCGGTGATGATTTCAGAGTCTGCATTATCAGGAGAGGATAAGAGTCCTATTAGCAGCAGATAACGGGAGACGGCATTATCAGGAGATCAGGGATTGGAAAGCCACTGGGCCCCAGAAGGCCACCAGAGCCCAACGGGCAAAGCGAGGGAAGTCTAGGCGCGCCGTGTCGCCTCCCCGGCTCCCAGACGACGACTCTTCCCTCTCTCCACCTCTTCCCTCCCCACCACCACCACCGCCCCGCAACGCACGGCAGGTGCCAACCTGGGGTGGGGGTGGGGGGAGTTCAGCCGAAGCCCCCACCGCAACC